TCCCAAAATCCCAGAATCCTCAAAACATATCAACAATATCACCCTCCATAATATGCAATTGTGAAGGAAGAGGCCGCACAGAAATTATTTGTGCTTGGGGCTCTGTCCTCGTTGCAAGAGTGAAGGGCCGCATCAACTCCTCCTCAAGAAAAGCAACCTCATGCATCTCTTGTCATGACCATCAAGGCATAAGAAGTTTAAACCATTAGCTCTGGTCTCCAGGGCTCCTTTTCATTGTACAAGATAGAGAAAAAAAAAATGTTTGGCTCATAATTCTTCATGAATCTAGCTTCGGGTAAAGCCTCATACTTCTTTGTAGGCATTTCCTCATCCATTTTACAGAGAAATTCAAAGGCTATGTTGTATTTATTTTTTTGTTTCCTTTTGGTTTTTTGGTTCTCATTTTCTAGAAGGTCTTTGAGAATGTCTTTTTCTCATCTTTGTATCATCCCCTTCTCTAATCTTTAACAATATTTCTCCTTTCAAAAGAAAGAAAAAAAGAAGTTTTTTAGCTGCCTGCCTAAGATCTTTGTAAGTCACTTCCTCTATTATCCACAACAGATTTAGGAACAGATAATTACAACAATTAGAATTTGCCATTTAGTGAAAACTTAATATTCCAATGACCTTCATTTAGTCAAAGTGATTTGAGATTGTTGTTTCCAGGAAATCTCTTCCATTAACAAGATCAGTGGCTTCCTCCCTCATTTCGTTTCTTCAATTTCAAAACCCTCCCTCTGTTATTCCTTCCAAGTGATAACATCAAAGTTCTGCTTTTCCTTCTCAAGCACCTGCTCCAAGTGTTATTACCCCTTGACCAAAAAAACTCATTGAACGCCTTAAAAAGCCACATTATTTCTAGGTCAAATAAGAGGACTGAGAAATGATTCCAAAACTATTTCTAGTAATGCTTAAGATATTGTGAATCTCACCCTCGATCGCAACATCAGATGATCTATACTTTATAATCAGAAACCTTTTAGGTAGAGATATGAGCATGGTAGCTCCAACTAAGAATGCTGGCAAACAAGAACACCCTAGTACAAGAATTTGAGGAGCTTTTTTCTCTATCATTTTCTCTCTCTATGCTAATTTACGTTTTCATACTTCTATATTGCAACTAGCATAAGTTCCAAATCTTAAAATACACATGTTTAAGAAACAAAATTCAAATTACCATGTCTTCAGGAGGACCAACATCATTTTGAATAGATATGGTACGCAGGTGTGACCCAGCAATATTAGTCGTGCTTAGCGCAGACAGTCCAAGGTTGTTAGGACTAAAGCGACCAATCGAACCATCTTGATTAGGCCACAATGACGTTGACATCTCAGAATAGGGAAAGGATGAAAAAGATGATGGCCCATTTGTCTTGACCTGATGGGAGACACTTGTCCTTGGCAATGAGTGCTGCAAAAGAAGAATATCAGAATCGTACCAATAATAATAGTGACAGATAGTCCAGAAGTGTAAGTTGATAAGCAGGTAAAATAGCAAGACTATTATTATTTCAAAATAAACAGAAAAAATATTATATGAATGGCAGACACGGATCAGATTGATGACCATCTAAATTAGTCATCAATCAATTTGGACACAGGACTTCATGCAGAAGTACCAGAATAAATAGGGTGAAAAATAGAAACAAGAATTAGTACGCAATAAAAGCCTTATTCACAATTGTTCAATGATCCATAGTATTCTTCTTTTCTTTAGTGGAAAAAAGAAAGACAACTAGAGGTGCCACTCCTGTATAAAGATTCACAAAAGGTCAACTATAGGACAACCCTTTAAAACAAAGAAAGGATCCTAAAGCAATGATCCTGATACACCCAATTGAGGAGGAAGCATTCTCAAAAACCCTTGTATTTTTGAGGGCACCCAAGGGAATGACAGCCAAAAAACTTCCTTTTGGACTTGGCAAAAAGTCCACAGCTCACTCCAAGTGTAGCCGAACTAATGAACCAAATTCTAGGTAACTATGATCTATTTGCATATTATAAATAGGTAAATCTATATGTATATCTGCAAACATTTATAGCATATTAATCCCGTGTATATACATGGATAAATATTTACAATATTAAGCCATGATGATATGAGCTAGCTCTCAAATCTTAAAATTTCTTCAATGAGTTTACGAGGTTACCTGTTCTCTGGACATTTCCTCCTTCCACTGATTCTGATATTTCTGAAGCATCATAATGAGCATGCTTTGCAGCTCAAGTGGTAGATCTGGTGGAAACAGCTTCAAGAGATCGTCACCAGCGAAATTTTCATGTACACATTTTCTGATAAGCGAACGAAGGCATGCCAAAACCTATGATCGGGTGTTTACAAATTATTGCAATGTTGATAACATTTAAGAATGACAAAACCCTACATATCAAATTTAAAATCAAACACAAAAGTGAGAGAATATTCTGTTTAGTGTTTGCAAGCAGCACAACAGAAATGCAGGAACTCTGGAAAAGAAAATTGCATGTTTTTCAGTTAAATGCCTTCCCAAATAAACAAAGCAAATCATAGACAAAATCTACATCCAACACCATAAACCAATTGGTCTTCAACCATGTCACCAGGGTCAGGGCTACATGGTTGCTGTGGGGTGATTAACCCCACTGAAATTACAAAAATAAACTTAGTACATGTAAAATACTCTATGCAAAAGTTCTTTACTTTGAGCTCATAGTGTCTGTGATTTTTACCGCATTGATTAAAGATAAAATGGAAGTGTTTAGGTCTCCATGTATAAAAGAAATCTAGAATGTATAATCTTCTTCAAAAAGATTTAATAAACATCATTAGATAACTTGAATTATCTAATCAACTGTTTGCCCGTGTTTAAAAAATTTCCATTATTACTTCATAGCACCAAATGCCAAAATCTTCTAGCTCTGCCAGGCCTCGTGTGATATAGGTGCTGAAGGAAGTCACCTCAACGGGAACAGATTTATCACAAACACAATATCCATCAGGAATTTTTCACTCTTTAATCAGCCGAGAAGAAAACTACTGATAGCCGTTCCTTCATAAAATCAGATTCATTGTTTTCTTTCAATTAAGCTTTTTAATTTTTCAATGATAAATTTTAATTCTCTGTATCTCCTATCCATTCCAACAGTCCCCGTACACAATTTGCAAACTAACTGCATAATTATACACCAAAACCGACCAGCACAAACGTATAAGCTCCAAATTCACTAAGAAATATAACAAGCCCCAGAAGCAAAGACGAGCCAGAAACAAGTAAATAAAAGACCTAGGAAACAGAGATCATTTATCAAGTGCAGCAAAAATCAGCAAATGCTCCAGGCGTTTCTTTTTTAACAGATATCCATAACTGAAAAAACGAAAGTAGAAAATAAGCCTAGGTAAAGAAGAGAGAGAGAGAGAGATGAGAAGGGAAAAGAACATTACCGGATCGAGCTCGGGGAGAGATGGAAGGTTGAGGAGGGACTGGAAATGAAATTTCTCAGGCGAACGAAGACCGGTTTTTCGAGTTTTCCAAAGATTAGTGAAGATTTCGTCAAGCGTTTCCTCTGAGCTTACAGCAGAGAGCTTGTGCAGTTGCAGGTATAAAGTGTCTTCCCACATTTTCATTAGTGTTTTTCTCTATTTGAGTTTCTGGTTCAAAGGAATGCTTATTTCGGGTTCAAAGGCAGGTTCACCTCTTAATAACGAGGCTTTCGACGGCGCCGGGAGAATATTTTCCGGCGGCATCCGGCCAACAGCTATGTTTGGATACCGTGAAAACGAGGCCAGCTATGGTTGAATTATTATAATAATTATTATTTTTAAAAAAATTTTACATTTTTGGATTAAAAAATTAATCGAATAATATTATTTTAAATTATAAAAATAAAATTATTTAAAAATTGATAAATATCAATATCTGATATCCCTTGTATCTATCAAATATTTTTTCAAAATATAAGTTGTACCTTTTTGGAATAAAGCATGTTATTAATTAATGTTAGAAATTCATAAATAATTATTTTTTTAATATTATTTTATATAATATAATATACAATCTATAATAAATTACATATAAATTTTTAGGGTATAAATATCTTTTGTAAAAATTCAAATTTCTTAAAAAAACTAATTAAAAATTTCTTCTTATTCTTCACATAAGCATAAGTTTTTATTAAAAGAGAGCGCGTATATATGAGTTTTTATCTACGTTATGTTTATTTTATTTTTTTATAAAACATTAAATGGATAAAAATTTTTTGATGTAATAACTAATTATAATTTTTTTATTTTTAAATTTTAAATTAATAATTATTATTAATTCAACTGAGTCAGATTACATGATGGATGATTTATTCGATTAAATTTAATAATTAAAAAATAATAAAATATATATTTATTATAACTATTTTATGACTTATCTTATGTATAAATGTGAATATCATCTTCATCGTATTAATCAACATAACAAGTAAAATAAATTTTTCTAAGATCAATTTAAAAGAAGCATGTAAAATTAATATATTATAATTTAATATTATGTGCATGTATATGTGTAGAAAATTAATTTAATATTTACTAGTATATATATAATCTATATTGTATATATAAGTAATA